ATATATATATATATAGATGACTTTATAATAGTACATACATGTTATTGTACTCATTTGTATAAAAGTATTGAAAATTCTCTTAATTTTTTTACTCACCTTAACTCCACATTCCTGGACTTAAAGTTAGGACAGTTAGTTCTGGTTTCAATATTCCCTTTAAAACAAGAAAATAAATGAAGATAATGAATTGGTTATCATGTTTCTAAATGATGGACAGTTAAATACTTGTAACTGTTCTTTCTAAAGTAAACAACAGGTATATTAAAATAATTGAAATTGACATATCCGATAAAATAAAACAATTAATTTAAAGATGAGCTACAATATCTAAATAAGTAAACTGAAAAAAAGACTAGATATTGTACATATATACTGTGTATATACTTTAATAAGTGTGTGTGCAAAAGATTGCATTAATTTAAAGAATGAGGTGCAAGTTAAAAAATGTGGTCTATGAGATGGGATTGCATTTTTTAAAGATATCAAACATAAAAAACAAACAATACACTAAACCTTGTTAATATAATATGATAAAACAAATGTTGATGTATTGTTCTCATCTTATGAATTACACAAAACAAAAGAGGTACTCATTTTATGAATTATGCAATTTTTTTCATAAAATGTTGTGTTTTGAATGCATAAATGATGATAAAGATTTAAAATTTCGTAAGGAAAGTTTGAGTTTATAAAAATACCACTTCAAAGAATTTTCTGGTGACCCATTTCTATAAAACAGATATATATGTGGCTATCTTTATCACCACTACATATAACTATCATTAATTTAGTAGCATTATGTCCTATAACAGAATACTTGCACTTAAAATGCACTAATCCATTATTTTTCTAAATCTTTCTACTTCTCATTTGGGGTTACCCATGTGCTTTAATTATGGCTCTAAAGGGAAAGAAAGGCTTGCAAGTTATACTTAAATGCAAACTTTTAACTCATTTAAAGATCTGCAAAAACATCCCGTCAACTATCGTTCCCATAGTTTATCCTTATTAAATATTAAGATGTACCTTAATGTGATCCAGATGGCAGAAGAGATTAATCAACCTCCCATACATACATACATGGTTTCAGGTAAATGTTAATAAAATATTAAATGTAAACTTACACCCTGCCATCTGAAATAATTACAAAAAATAGTATATAAAATTTTAAGTTGACAAACTTGATACATTAATTGATAAGTTCAACACTGTGTGAAAAATGTACCTTTGTTCTTCAGGTAAACGATGTATATTCATTTCATTTATAAGTCAATCAACTGTGTTAAATAAATATAAAGAAATAAGTTACTCTGAGCAAGTGCATTCATTTCATTTAGAATTTGGAGAATTCCAAATTATGTACATAGTGTTGAAGAGTTTAGTTTACCTCTTTTTCATCACCTTAATAATAATATTTTCTGTAATTTGCATGTTCAACCTCGACAGCTCCTTTGGTGTCACATTAGATAAACAGTCACATCATAGATACATATGGTTTAGGTATAGCCATTCCTAATTTCTCAGTGAAATGAACTATTTTCTGTATAAAGTTGTTGGTATGTGTTTATATGTGTGTGTGTGAAAGGGACACCTACAATATATACATATCAAAAAGATTTTTTTGTAACCATTCTGTTATATTTCAATTACTGCAAGCAATATGCACCTTCTTTTCTAAATCCAAGTTACTTCAATTATTAGTGAGCACCGTAATGACTTAACCTAACTTATCATCAACTGTCCCTGGTATTCTAGCCCTAAAGTTTAAATATGTATGTGTGTGTCTCTCTCTCTACACACGCACCATGAAGCAATAAAAGGAAGTTAGTAATAGATAGATGTTAATTATCTTCTTATGAGCTTTTAACAAAAAAAAAAGATTTGTTATTTTCAAGTCACATCTGATTAAACCTTTTCAGACAGGAAGAGTTATTGCTGATAGCCCAGATTTTATTCTTCTCACTGTGTCAATACTTAACCAAATTGTATAAAAGTTAGTAAAAACTTACTGAACATCATCTAGGTTTGGCTTAAAGTTTTTATAATTTGGTTTAGTATATCTATCATTTTTTAGAATGTGAAGCTTACAAAATTTTGTTGTGAGAAACTGTTTTTTAAAAATATGAAAAAATAACCATGTCTTAAAATTTTAATTTTTCATTGTTAATCTTAAGACCTGTTTTATACATCCAATCAGCTTAAACATGACTTAACACATTTCTTTTGATACTTTACCAGTTGTAGTAGTCACAATTTCCAGCTATACATTACATAAAAAACTCACAAAAACTGCAAAGATTTATCAATGACCTAGGTTCTCACCTTTCAAAATGACATCTCCACTACCTGTGTCAGGCTAGGTATTGTGATTTTTGCTAACAATAATATAGTATTTAATATTAAATATTTCATCTCAAACAATTCTTGCTCATATTTGTTTGCATTGTTTGACAATGATAAACTTAACAATAATATTCAATAATGATTTCAATCATTGGAATATCTTGCTGTCACCTACCATATTTGCTTAACTAAGCTTACCTGATGTACTGTCACAAAATAACATTTTTGTAGTTTTCAAACATATAAAATTAAACATGAAAATATGTTCAGGAACAACAAAAAAGTGAGAAGAAATGATAAAAAAAAATCTCAGGCGTGTGTTTTGTTCCTCAGTCTTCTAAACTTCCCATTAGTTTCCTTTGTTCACTACATCAAGAGCTCTGGTTATTCAACAGCTCAAGAAACCATGAAGTACTGATCAAACCACCTTATATTGATGTAAAACGTTTATACTCAACTCTATACAATTATATTTAAATTTTGGCTAAAAGCTACTTTCAAAGCTGAGATTCATTAATAATTGTTCAGATTACATGCTGTGACATAATAATAGTTTGTTTGTTTTAAAGTAAAGCTACATTTGCTGTGTCCACGGTGGGGAATCGAACCCCAGATTGCAGTGTTGTAAATCAGTAAACTTGCAGCTATCTCACTATGGGACTATAATAAAAGGGTGATAACAAAGGGTTGTAATAACAAAACCACCAGCAGAGAGGGAAAATCATATGAAATACATACACGATTCTATTTTGAAGAGAAGATAGTTTCTTAGCAAATATAAACCTATATTTGGGATGGACATACAATAACTGTGTTGTTTACAGGATGGGCATACAATAAGTGTGTTGTTTACAGGCAGGATTCTTTGGAACTGTACAGAAATGAAAACTTGAAATGTTTCTTTTTCTTAGTAAATTACACTGCCCGGTTTCTACCACCTAACCAGAAAGCAATGGTCACAGGCAAACAGGCTGAGGTCGTATCTCCATTTCAAACAATTCTTGTAAACTTTCAGTTAATGAAGTGGAAGTAAGCCTCGAGTTCTTTATGGCAGACATTGTGTTTTTTTTTTACAAAAATGGTCAATGACAGAAAGTGCTTACAGAAGAGGATTACCCAGGGAAGCTTCCTTTGTAAGTACTGACATATGCAGCATGAGACCTGTTGCAGTAACTTCACAACATCTTCATGTCTATCCTCAAAGATATCTTTAAAAGCAATGCCAAGAATTTTTTTTAAAAAAAACAAGAACTGGCTTTTATTTGTAGATAGATCTTGTCACTTTAGTTGCTTTGCACTCTTTTCTACTACTTCTTCTTGCTTAATTTAACATGTCAATAATTCTTTTAGTATTTCTTGTTTATCATGTAATTTGTGTTCCACTGGTTTGGTGGTTTGAAAAACACAGATATAGTTTTTCAGCAGAGGCAGGACAGCTGAATAGAAATGCAATATTAGCAGTTCTTTCCCTTGGAGTAGAATTCTCTCTGTCACCCCTTTCTTTATCTTCTTTCTATATTCAGTATCCAGCATTTGTTTTTAAAGATAGAGTAATGCCTCTGAGCTTTTCCTTTCCCACACCCAGTTTCCTATATGTAGCCAATTATTGGATATATATATAGTCAGTTTTCTCACTCATATCCAAGAAACTAAAGCAGAAAGTCATCAGGGTATCCTATATCTTTCAAGTGCCCAGAGAAACAGTATAACAAGATAGCCACTAATGCAGCACATACTTCTGTGGCATAGCAAACCTGATGTTCAGTAACTTGTAGATCAGCTGACCACTTTAGATCATGGAATAGCAATTACACCCACTTTCTGAATGGCACACAAAACTTTTTGCAAACATTGTGGATGGGGTGGTAAATATTTTCATTAATGTTTGCAAATTTGGAGCCTTCTGCTTGAGCTTCTGCTCAAACTCTTGAACACCCACATCACTGAGCAGGAATCCATCAAAACAGTCACATGGTTAGTCTAAGGAATCAAAATGTTCTATCACTACCCGTTTTGTAGTTGAGCAAAAATTATTAACTAATATTGCTAATACACTCTTGTTACTATTGTTTTTGCTGTCACTGATATTAAGTAAAGTTTGTTTTTATTTCGAATGTTCTCCAGTATCCTCTTCGTGACTTTTTTTTTTTTATGTCACAGGTCATTTTGTATGATGCTGAGAAACTTGTCAACTTGGACAAAACTTTCTTGTCTTTTGCTAATTCATTAGCCAGGTTATTTAATCCTTTCATTTTTTTTGTTAATGTACACAAAAAATATTAACTACAAAAGTGGTTTATGTTTAATAATGATATTTCTTCTGTATTTAACATTTGAGAAAAAACCTAACAGAATTTAGGTACAAGTGTGAAAATTTGGAATAAAGTAATTTTATCTATTACAAACAAACAAACATCAAAGAAATATTTCCAATATCACCCATAACCATCACAGCACTATAATATTATGTTGAAAAAACAGTGAACTGGCTTAAGTAACTAAATAAATAAGTAAAAAATCAAGCTATTCATCAAGTAGATCATCATTTCTTTTTAAATAGGCTAATTGGTAAATATTAATTACTGAATACAAGTTTGTTAAATTAATAGATTTAAACAAGATGTATTGAATATTAAATACACACCTGTTGGTTAGAAATATGACCACAAAGGGGTACAGCAGATTTCATAACTTCCATCATGATTCAGTGTTTGGACCGATGCTGTAGGATGATTCCGGGGGTTTCAAACACCAGACATCGTATCATTAGTTATTTTGGTTTCCAGATTTATTTATTTTTTGCTTTACATTCTTGCAGTATTTTTCTGTTGTCTTGGCACCAAGTGAGGCATAATTTCTTAGGTCATTGCAGTCTATATACAATACTCTCCTGGTGACATTTACTTTCAATATACACTCTCTGAGTGCACAAATCACCTTATGAGAATTTCCTTGATAGTGCAACTTGACACTGACAGATTTTTATAAACATGTCCAGTTGAGCTTCTTTTTTAATAGATTTCTTGATCTCTTTAAGACTGAAAACATCACTTCTTTCCAAAACTTTAGCCATATCATTGTCTGATTTACTCAAACATGTGCCAACCAACACACATATACAAATTTTTAATTGACAAGGAATATCCCACAATTCACTGTGTATAAACTGGCCAATGGAGTCCATGGTGTTTTGCACTCAATGGGGTACATAGATTATACATATAACATGCTAGCCTCACCTTTATCAGAGCTACTGACTTATAATTTTGATTTAAAAAATCTCAAAGTTTTAATTAAATCATGTTAAGATATTTCAACTAACTAAATTATGTTACCTTTTAAAGCTACACCATTGCGTTGGATGGATGTGATAGCCTTATGAACATGTTTCATATCTTCTTGAGATGATTCTAAATGTACTTCTTCAAAATCTACAGGAACACCAGCATATCTTCATGTAAAATTAAAATTTATAAATTAAAATCAACATTCTCCTCAGTAGCACTTATTAAGATAGTGCTATTTTTTGTGATACTTTAGTAAGCTCGGGATCATCTAATGAGATGAAAATATTAAAAAATACTCTGTTTAATTTCCTGACACAGAATCTGAGTCCAAACTGAATTTACGATAATGTTTCTAGCCATAAATTGGTCAGGTGCTCAAGTTACAAAATTATAACTTTACAAATGTTACAATCCCTAGTCTTTACTAAATTTTAACAAAAAAAGTACAAAAATGAGTTTTTTCCTCTCAGTTTTCACAACTTTATTTTATGCACATTCTTTAATTACAAGTCCAAGCAATTCTCACTTTAATTTTATTTCTAAAAACAAATCTGCATTGCATATTTTTCTTCACAAGTCAAGAAAAACATTATAACTCTGTCACAAGGCTTTACTTTTGTAGTACAATGGATAATTTCTGAATTAACTTTTTTGAAATTTGTCCTTTTCCCCAAATTTGTTTACAATTGTGAAATACATCCCAGTTCTTTTATAGGTAAGTCATAGTAACTGTGTATATTAAGTTAAACATTAGTTCAAATGCCACCAACAAATAGTTTTATCCTCACTTTAACTAGGTTACTTGTTTTAGATATTGACCTCAAACATCAATCACAAGCACACCAGAGAAATAGATTTACCACAATATTTTCAAACATTAATACAACAGCCAAACACAGACACATATTCAAATAACTCGCAAGTGAAAGCAAAGAAGATTATATAATAATATGTCAATCACAATATATTGGCTATATCGGGTACCGATGAGGCCTTTAGCTCAGTACCAGGGCTCAACACGTCGGTAGGGATATGACACACACACAGTAATGGTCTAGGTGTTATTTATATCACTAACTTTCATGAACAGCAGGTGTTATGGTGTGAACTAGATTAAATAAGTAAAGTGTAATTATGTACTGGTATATACATGTTGATGTCACCACGTTGCTTTTTCAATTTAAAAACAAGCAGACAATTGTTGAGAGGTATATAATATGCAATACTGCCATTCAGGATAACTTATCTTCATTTTATTTACTACTAACACAATCACAAGCACTCTCTTCTATTAATTATATGAACAATGCTACAAATGTCATTTTTTAAGAAAACTATTTCTGTTATATTATTAACCATGTTAGAAAGATAGTGTCTGTTCAATATCAACATTAAAAACACATTCATACTTTTCTACGTATTCGTAATTTTATTCAATTAAAATAAAAAATTCATTCCCTAAAATACATTTTTATTGATCAAACAATACGTTCAGAAAATAGCAAATTCCAAGCCAAGTTCATTTATCAATTGTGGCTCAATTAAACCATACTTTCTAATTAATCTTTTACAAAATTTAAGCAGAATATTTAAATACAAAGTAAAAACAGTTATATTTATATAATTAAAATATAACTAGTGTAATTTATTTCATTCGAAAAGTTAGATTTAATTTGATAATTTTATTAGTCATATTTTTTTCTCAAAACTAAAAAGCCTTGCAAATAATGTACTAATGTCTATGGCTTACTTTCAATTCTTTTTTGGGTTCAGTCTCTCTCTTTTTTTAATATAAAATATTGCTACATCATTAATTCTTAACCAAAAGGTTTGTATTTATTTTAATTATCCTAGATAGCTTTTCTTTTCTCAAATCAAGGATTTAATTTTTTCTAACTCCTTTATATTCCTTTTAAGTTAACTGATAAAGCACAAAATAAATTACAATAAAACATATGTTGACATCAGCAGATTTGTTTGTAGAATGAAAACTAAATAAAAATCCTTTTATTAAGAGTAACGTGGTTTTCAATATATTTTTTTTAAATATAAAGATGTATTCAAATAAATTAATGGAAATGCCTGAACAAGAAGGGTGGTTAACTGCTGGAAAATACATTGCTTAAAATGCCAATACTATTCCAATATACATTACAGTAAAAAATTGTGCCCTATAAATATATATGAACATCTGTAGATAAAGACATGGCATTTGACCCAAGTAATTTTTCTAAAAGGTAAACATATATACCCATCTGAGTAAATTACACAGAAATATTTGTTGGATACCAAATATAATCCATCCAACATGCTGAAAAAGAAGATACCAAGTTATTTAAAAAAAATTTCATAAATTTTATTCGGAGGTAATAAAACCAAACTGTACAACCTATATTTAGTATAAAATGTTTCTAAGAATAACTATACAGTTTCGGGGGATGAATTACAAACACGAAAAACAAAAGATTTATGAGAAACATCCAGAAATTTCAAAAGTGTAATGCATATACTGTATACAATATTAAACACATCAGTGTGAATTTATAACATGCATGAGAAACTCAAATATATCAATTACAGTCCAAGTTGACCATTCATTGTAATGGGCATGATGAAATGTATTACAACTATCTTTTTTTATTCCATACTTGCACAGTTATTTAATTTTTGACACTTGTTCACTTACTGTTTTTATTATTTCACTAATTAATCCATTTTTGGAAACATGTATTGAAAATATGTTTTTGCAACTGATTTTAAGTATAAGTAGCAATTTGCCCATGTGGGTTTTTTTAAATAGAATTTTATTAATTTCTTGATTATTCACTTGAGAACACATTTTATTTCTTATTTTTAACATTAAAATGTTTTAAGTTTAAAGACTCCTAAAGTCATGATTCAACATCAAGTGGTGAAATACACTGACCAAATATATTATTATTTGAATTTTTAGATCAAAGTTGCTAACCTATGTATATTTGTAGAAAATTTATTAAAATAAAATTTCCAGAGTGTGGTATATGAAAATATTTTTTTATTAAAACAAGATCAATAAAAATTGTTGATGAAGAGGAAAATAATTCATAGAATATCCAAACCTTCCCACTACAAAATGTTTATTTATGTTCATTATTACTGTAATTTTAAAATACTAAATAATCAAAAATAATAAATATGTTATACCTGAACACTTCTTTTACATGGCCCATTAATTCTGGTCCTATACCATCTCCAGGAAGCATAGTGACCATAAATCGGCCTCCATACTTAGCTTGCACTCGATTTGTCCGAGTTAGCTAAATGAAGTTAACAAATTATAATACAGCTTAATATTTTTTTTTATCATAAATCATCAAACTGTACATCAGTTTAATACATTAAAAATGGTTTTGTGAGTGACTTATTAATTTCTTTAACAATACCCTGCATAATAAGCACTAATACTGAGCACAAAAATGCTAAGTAATAAAGCCATAAAACTGTAGCTCGTATAGCACTGTATTAGCTGGAATAAATTAAAGCTGAATATTAAAGGAAAAGTTTATATACGTATACTTGTAGTAATGAAAAAATTAACAATCACAGTATGTGTTATCCACAACTATTTTTGGCATAAAAGCTAAAGTTATTGCAGTTTCATATGAAAGGTCTTACCACTGTACTTGAAAATTGTCTGTCTTGTTGATTCCTCCAAAAAACTACAGGAAGAACTGCTCTCACATTCTATATTTCAAAATAAGGTAAAATTTAAATATAATGGTTAAATTTGAACCAAAAAATTTGTGTGGCTTATGAACAAAGTGAAGAAACCAAAGTTCTGATGTTTAACAATGATAGTGGTTCATAATAGGGATTGCCCAAGAATTTCACAAAAATTCTAATAGAACATATGAGCAAAAACCACTTTAAAAACAGTTTTATTCTTGAAACAACACTCAAAACCTTCTATTTCTCTAAAGTGGCTAAAGTACTGATAATAGCAAAAAAAGTTAACTTTCTGATTGTTAAACAAAATTCACAATTCATCAATTTGTTCTTCATATTATTATTGTTTCACAAGCCTACAGAAAAAATAGCTATGAATATTTTATTAAAACCTGAGCAAACCTATTAAAAAAACTCCTGCACAGGCATAGGACTATCCTTATGTTGATGTTTGAAAGAGGAGGAGAGATTATCAGTTTTTTATATCTTGTGTATTGGTAAAGAAATTGGTGAAACTTTCACCCCTGCGAAACACTTACGCCACAACACACGTAAGCAAAACAAAAAATAAAACATTATACAAGACAAAAGTTACAAATACAAGCAAACTCAAAACAATAGGTAGGCAAACAATAATTTATTTATTTACAAAAATTCTAATAAAACATACAGGCAAAAACTATCTTTAAAAATAAACTTGTTCTTGATACAATGCTCAAGACCTTCTATTTCGATAGCTAAGGCTGCTAAAATATTGATAATAGCAAAAAATTTGATTTTCTGATTGTTAGACATACTTCAAAATTTATCCACTTTGTTACTATTATTATTCATATTATTATTGTTTCACAAGCCTACAGTTGTGAATATTTCATTAAAACCTGGGCAAACGTACTAAAATAACTCCTGCATAGGTCATTGGACTATTTTTATGTTGATTCTTGAAAGAGGAGGAGAGATTTTATCACTTAATTCATTGCTATTAGCAAAGTTTCTCTTCAAAGCCATTCAAGCACTGAAGCTTACTGCAAAAACTGCACCAAAATTATGTACAGTTACTAAACAAACTCCTGCAAAGTTGTAGAGCTATTTTTGAGTTGATTTCTGAAAGTCAAGATTTCCACCCTCTAAAAATGTTTTAAGTTCTTCTTCGCTACCAACATAAGCTCTTTGAAGCTATTTGAGCATCATTATACTAGTCAGAAATGCTTACTTTTATTAGAGTAAACAATGTGTATATTTATAACAGTGTCTCCAGCCTTATTATTATTGATTATAGTTTTAGAAGCCTCTACACAAAAAATTGCTACAAATATTTTACTCAAACCTGGACAATAGTAATAAATACAGTATTGAGTATGTCATAAAGTAGTTTTAAAATTAATTCAAGCACCTTCATTTTTTCGTCCTGAAGAATTTCTCTAAGTCCTTTGCTTTCCACCATTTAAAAAGATCTTGTATTTTACTAATGCTCATTAATTGGAAAATAATATCTGCAACTTACAGCGCACAAGCTGAAATACCCATCAACTGAAGAGGAATGTTTAAACTTAATTAAAACAATGTACGTTTAACAGCAATCACATATTTCAAAGTAATGAAAATTATAACAGAGCTTCTTTATAAACAACATTTACAGTTTGCTTTCCATCTACCGAAAAATAAAGATTATGAGGTAATCCCACCTTCAACATCCTACATCTCATTGACCATGAGAAAAGCATGGTTGTTTAAGAAAAAAAACCAGCAACTTTCATACTTTGACCTTGAATCCCTTTTGAATATTTAACATCGTCTAAAGCATCAACCTGCCAATATTGTTTGAGAGTGACTCAATAGGCTGGGAGTAATTAACCAACAGGCTTTACAAAATAGAAATAGGGTTAATTTCAATTTTGACCCCCTCAGAACATTCCCTACAGTTCATAGTGTTTACATACAAATTCTGGTTGAGATTGGTCCAATATGCTCGGAGGAGTTATGGTGCCGCAAAGAAACACACATTTCATCTATATATATATATGTGTGTGTGTGTGTATAGATTAATTGGAAATTTCCGCATTGAGGATTCGTAATTTCTCGAGTTTGTTGTTAAATTTTGTCTCTAAGTGGCTTTTTGAGACTACTTCAGTGAATTTTCCAACTGAACAATTACCACAGCAGATTTCTCTACTCTTGTGAGGGGTGATTTATTCTACTGATTTTCATACTTTGCTGTAATTTTAAGTGTGTATTTTAGTATTATTTTATTATTATTATTCATATTTTTGTTATATACTGCAAATGTCCATAAACTATCTAAAAAGATGATTATTTTTTATTGAAAGTTAATTTACATGGCTATAAATAGATAATATACACAATGTCATTATGAATAGCTTCATTTTTCCTCGATGTTTGTTATATACATGTTTACCTGAAATCTCAGGCACAAAGCTACATGGCTCAGTAAATAATGGCTTAGTGGAAAAAAAACGACCAATGCAACAGTAAAGTGTTGAAAAACATGTAACATTCAACCGAATGCATATGTATGTAGCTTAAATTTATTCTCTATAAATGGACATAAAAAACATGATAATAAAAAATTATCAATTTAAAAAAGGGAATAAGGATCATCAAAAAAGTACAAAAACAAGTTGAATCAAAATGCAAAGATTATATTTTCAAGCTTACAACTAGGGACTTTAAAAAAGGTAAACAAACTAGGCCTGATTACATGTTCACAGTTAATGCCATGAAACTTGGTAAAGCAAGTCAATTCTGATTCTCTACTACTTCAGTCTATTGTATAATATTTGACAGTCATTAGGCAACAGCAAGAAATTGGAATTAACTAACATCACATGAAGTGCAGAGACCTAAATCTTTGTCCTATGTTCACATAATTTTTTGTCAATTTCCTAAAGTACTTATCCCTTACATATTTTCATCAAAATATGCATGTTTTATCTCTTTACATTTATGTTAGGTGCTCAGGCATGTTTCTGGAATAAAAAGTATGTTTGGGAATAATTTGACTTCAAAATTACATATTACATGTGTAGATGTAGGTTTATGCACTACTCAAGTTGTAATTTTAGTACTACAGCATAGATGTAATCTTTACACTGCATATAAGATTACAAATTGACTTTTTGCATTTTCTAATTTTTTATGTTAAACTGCAAGCTTCTTTCCAGGATGTAGTATCAATACCAATACCAATGGATACATTAAACATTAGAGCACAGCTATCCATCATTATTTAATTGCAACATAACTGCTCTAGCCTCAAGTGATGGTTTTGAATGAACAGCTATAGACTAACATAGGTCAAAAGGTTATGGTGAAAGAGAAGGCTCCAACTCTCCATGTTAATTTTTGTTACAAATAAGTATAACTATAACACCTCAACTGTACATGTTACTTTAGGAGTTGTAATATATCAATAAAGAGTGAGTACCTTTAAAAGATATAAATGGCACTATAATTTAAGTTATATTCACTGCAAAAAAACCTTGAGCCATTAGCCATGTCATTGTGACCTCTTCATTTATACAAATTTTGACAAGTCACACTATGCTGTATGGTGGTTGTACTTCCCCTGCAATTTCCGATTTGAATTTCTGCCATTATAAGTTAAATATTCAAAAAACTCTATTATAAAAAATTCAATTTTAAATAATTTTTTCCCCATATCTAATATTGCCTATCTAAGCTACCTACATATGAAAAACATTGACAACATGGAAAGTTGGGGCCTTCTCCTTTAAGCTTTAAACTAGTTTACCATAACAGATTAAAAGTAAAACTAAATATTAACCAAGGAAATCATGCAACTAATTTTATATACTGTTTTAATTATAGTATAGATATAATATCATTATCATCAACTGCAAACTGATAATGATTATAGTGTATCGAATCAATGACTGATTCATCAGTTGCGTAACCCCTCGCTGTTAGTATTACACTGTAACAGTATTATTAGTATTAGGCTGTTAGTGTTAGCCTTATTTTCGGCACTACACTTTTGACTTCTAAGTTTAGGGCTTAGAAGTTATAGATGGAGTACTATCTATAGTCTAATCAAGGAAACTGAAGACAAGACAGAAGAATAATAATTTTTAACAAATAGATTATAAATGAAGAAAACATATTCCTTTAAGCGAAATTAACTACGATAATAACTTCAACAGATAGTAAGAGTAAGTTAGTGAGATACCGCCATGTTATTGTTACTGATAATATTAAAGTAATGGTAATCAGTATGTTACTGTAGTGCTTTTTAAAGTTAGCTGCTCTTGTGGAACGCACAAAAGCGAATCCTTTTGATAAAAACAGACAGGTTTAATAATTACCTTAAATTTTCGGAAGTTTAGATGAATCGTAAAGCAGTTTTTCATGCAGACGTTAAATATCTTACGATTGTAGTATAGAGCCATTACTACAGAGTGGATATTTCTTTATCCCAGTAGAGGACGCTATAACTTTATTAGCCATATATATTTTATATATCAGCTAAAGTCTGTTTGTTGTTAAGCGCAAAGCTACACGATGGGATATCTGTGCTATGCGAGCCTGTTCCCACCACAGATAACAAAACAATCAAGACTCCCTTTTAAACTATAATAAGTCTCAACTATTACATAATTAACGCACGCTAATCCATACTCAAATTCACTTTAAGTTTCTCACCATGTTATAAATTTGCTTTTTAATGCAACTTCTCTTCCCACTACCTGGAGCCACAAACGACCAATTGTGCATTATTGTTTATAGAGTGTACTGTGAATACATTACGCCATAGGTTCCCAAACTGTGGTTTGCGAATCCCTAGAATTCCATGAGCCTGTTCCTGGAGGGCCGCGAGGTGTTAGTCATTATACCGCTAGAAGATTCAAGACGTGGCTTAATATAATGTTGCGTCAGCGAGGTCACGTGACTAGTATCACGCCACGTCCTTCTCGAACCTTCATGAATTATCGGGAGACTACTAGATATAATATAATACCTTCACAACGTGACGAGACAGCAAGGTAATGAGTAATTGAACTGCAGCCAGAGAGTGTGTAATTGAACTGAATATTGTTGAAGTTGAGCACGTGAGATGTTCGTTGTTATAGCTTTTATAATAGCGCGACTGTCGAAATTAAGTGTATCGCAAAGTTATATTCAGAAAGAATAAACCAGTTTTATTTAAGAAAG